AGCTATATTCCATGCAGACAGTGTGGAGTCCTATACCTATAGGCTAGATTAGTCTAAGAAGTATGTAAGGAATAAACAATGTAACTTGATGTAGCAGGAATGTAATATATATGTGTGGAACCGTTGTAACATATTTAGGATGTAATATATTTGTACTAACTTACATCCATGTGTAATAAATGAAGGAGGTTAGCGTTTTTAGTTAAATTTTTTTAGATTTATTTTTATTATACTCTTATTTAATTATTATAGTTTAAAAAAAATAAAATTATACGATATTCTTTATACTGGAAAATTCTGAGGTTGTTACAATACATCCACTTCACCCAAGATTTGTTTGTGAACAGGAGGAGTCATGATATTGTAAAATGATAAAATAATGGTTCAAACTTACATTCTTTTCTATAAATTATTTAAAAAAAGTTAACCGATAATAAAAAATTATTTATAAGTTATTTCTGTACTTTTTTCAATATAAAGTAAATTTTCACCATTAGTTTATTTTTAATTGATTCATTCTTTATTTTTGGGCAAAATTATATATTTTTGTGTTAGTAATTTAATTTTTTGTTTTCTCTTAATAAATTTGTGATAGATATTAAATGTTTAAGGAATCGATAAATATTATTTTTATTTTTATTGAATAATTGTGTATGATTTATTATTTTTTATACTAGAATATTTGGAATTAGTATTATTTTTTATAGGCATTTGAGTATGTTTATAACTTTTTAATATAAATTATAGATTTGTATATATTTACATGGTCATACGGTTGAATCAGTAAATTAATATCCGGTACTTCGATCGGATTAATGATCAGGCCGATTTTAATAAATTTAAAGACTTGAAGTAATTAACATTAATCTCTTTCCCTCTATATTATCAACCTGTATATCAAAAACTTAAAAAATTTAGAATTTGCAAACGGAAAGCGGTGATTTGGAAAAATATTTGTAAAATTCAGTTGAGCCTTCTTGAATTACTGAAACCACTTATAACAAAATACCTTTCACACAAAATCGTAGCCAACTAGCCATGGTCCATTTGGTTCATTCAAACTATTAACTAAATATTAAAAAGATGATATATAACAAATTACCAACGTAAATCTTATGAGTCAAAGGGAATTAAACCTATAATTAACAAAGATCAAAATTTAACAATCAACATTTCCACTTCCACAAGAGAAACAACTAATTAATTACCATAGAGATGGATAAAATCAACCTTTGTAATATTATTATAGGGCGGGTCTTTTCTTGAATAGGATATTGTTGAATAACAGCTAGTTAGAGCTTAAATTAGGGAGAAATATTATCATCCACTTGTCAAATGAACTTAAGCAACAAACCTTAAGCATTGGTTTATGGATCCTTTCGCACATGCTTAGTAAAATATTTTATCACTCACACTTGGCTCTGATACCATTATTGGGTAATGGCCAAGGAGAGCTTAAATTAAAGGAGACTATCACGCATGTTTGACATTACATTTTAATTCAAAATATTAAGACATTCGATTTATGGGTCATTTCTTTTATGGGTAATATTACTCTCATGTAACATGAGAGTAGTTCTCTCATGTTACAGAGAGAATCTAAGTAGGACCCGCTATTTAAAAGCAAAAAAGAAAAAGAAAAAAGAAGGGACGCGATTTTCGAAATGAGAGAAAAAGAGATAATTACCTCATGTAAAATGAGAGTAATATTCCCCTTCTTCTATATGTCTCATTCTTTTGCGATACGGGATATTTTATCACTCACTTAAATTTTTATCCGGATATAACCCAAAATCACTTTTACTATCATATTATTATTATTATTATTATTATTTTTAGGTCATGTTTTCGAAGAAAAGAATTGTATTCAATCGGGGATTTCCAAACATTTAACAAAAATTGCATAGTATTTAAAACATTATTAGGAATATTATATTATTAAAGCTAAAACTGTCTGTTCCTATAAGGGATTTCCAAACATATGTCTTTTCCTTATCAAATAACTCCCTATTAGAGCAGTATATTTTCTTTATATCGGGAGTACATACTTACCAAAAAAAAATAAAAAATAAAATCAATAATAACTATAAAAATAAAGATAATATAAATATTTTTTTTTCATATTTAATAAATGATATAGCGAATATTTTGTACATCTAATATATTTTCCTATTAGAAACTAAAAATAAAAAGATTAATATTTCTCATGTTATAAAAGATAATTTTATCTTCTATACACATAAAAATGTGTGAGATCCATATGAGGCTATATGAATAAAAGAGATAAAAAAAAAAAATGAACTCCATATATTTTCATGGGAAAAAAATATATAATGTTATTTTAGACAATTTTATCTAATGATCATTAAACGACGTCGTTTTAGGGTTGAAAAATTAAAAAATTAAAATTATAAAGATTATTTTACCTTAAAATAAATTAAAATTACAAAGTTATCTAAAATAACTTAAAAAAACCCTATTTTTATATATGTGTACGGTATATTTTAACCCCTAAAACATTTCAAAAAATAAAAGTCATGGTCTTCCTGTAACCAACATTGGTCAATAAAAGCATATTCTGAACCAACAGACTGTCATTACAAATACCCTCGCCCTTCCACATTATGTGCTTTAACTGCAGATGGTATTGCTTCGTGTAATTCCTGCCACATTGCATGATCACATCCGCATATCTAACGTGAACCATTAATGATTCTTTTCCTCAATTTCCGGAAATGGTTATCTCATATCAACCACATGCCATTGATTAATCAAGAAATGTATGCCAAGAATAACCATTGAACAGGATAAATAATCATTTTAACTTAAAAACTTATGTTAGACGAAGATATATTTCTCTAGTAAATCGCGTCACATTAGAGTCCGTTGAAATTGAAGAGTGAGTAATACACAAACTCATCTATCTATGTTAAGAAATTATAGTATTTAATTATTTATTGATAGAATGAGACGGTAAGATTAAAACTCGTGACTACTTTGTCACAGAAGCTATGATAGGTGAAGGCATGATTTTATATTTTATAATATTTCTCTAACAACATGCAAACAGAAGTAACATCCTGAATATTTAACCTGCAGGAATATAATAACTAAGAAAAGGTGATAACAATTTTAAACCATCTTCCCAAATGAAAGGTTTATGAATTAATAAAAAGAAAGAAAGGTAAATCCAGAAGAAAAATGAATTAATAAAGCATCTTCCCAAATCCAGAAGAAAAATGACAAACAAATACCATACAAGAGACGAAGAAACATAAATAAAAAGAAGAAAGAAATTAGGTAACCCACTTTCTTTCCTATCTTTCTTCGTTGGAGATAATCTTGCCGCCCCCACTTTCTTTCCTATCTTTCTTTGCCGGAGATAGGGGAGGAGCACTTTGGCCAGCCTTCGAGTTTATGAGAGACACAACTTTATTACGCCCTATCACTTGCACAGTCATGGTATCATCCATCTTCTTGAAAAGATTGATCATATTCTTTGCCCCATATTGAGCTACACGAAGAGGTGTCATATAAGTTTTCTGGTACTCTTCTGCAACATTTAAGAGAGGCAACTATCCTCCAGAAATTTCAACCAACTCTTTCAGCTGACCCTTGACACCTTCTAAGGTTGCTTCTTCTTTATTTGGACCATTTGGATTGTCAATAGAAAAGAATATTATTATTAGGTTAAATACATTATATTATTATTAGGTCATGTTTTCGAAGAAAAGAATTGTATTCAATCGGGGATTTCCAAACATTTAACAAAAATTGCATAGTATTTAATACATTATTATGAATATTATATTATAGAAGCTAAAACTGTCTGTTCCTATAAGGGATTTCCAAACATATTTCTTTTCCTTATCAAACAACTCCCTGTTAGAGGAGTATATTTTCTTTATATCGGGAGTACATACTTACAAAAAAAAAATGGAATATAAAATCAATAATAACTATAAAAATAAAGATAATATAAATATATTACTTTTTTTTTCATATTTAATAAAGGATATAGTGAATACTTGATACATCCATAATACTAAATATATTTTCCTTTATCTTCTACACATATAAAAATATATGTGGACCACATAGAGCCAGGTAAATAAAAGAGATAGAAAAAAAATTATATAAACCCCATACATTTTTATGGAAAAAATGTGTATCATCTTAAAGGACGTAAAATTGTGTCATTTTAAGTGAAAAAAAAAATCATAGAAGAAAGAGAGTGAACAAAAAAAATTAAAGATGTGAATCTCAACTTTTTATGAGAGCGAAATTACATAAATTGTGTCATTTAAAAAAACAAATATTTTTTCTTATTTTTATATATGTATACGAGATAATTTTATCGCCCTACAACTTTTCCAAAAATAAAAGTCGTGGTCTTCCAGGCAGAAAAGAATTCATTCTTCTGAACCAACAATGGTCAATAAAACTATAAAAGCATATTCTGAACCAGCAGACTGCCATTACAAATACCCTCGCCCTTCTACATTATGTGCTTTAACTGCATATGGTATTGCTTCGTGTAATTCCTGCCATATTGCATGATCACATCCGCATATCTAACGTGAACCATTAATGATTCTTTTCCTCAATTTCCGGAAATGGTCATCTCATATCAACCACATGCCATTGATTAATCAATAAATGTATGCCAAGAATAACCATTCAACAGGATAAATAATCATTTTAACTTAAAAACTTATGTTAGACGAAGATATATTTCTCTAATAAATTGCGTCACCCGAGAGCCCATTGAAATTGAAAAATGAACGTTACACAAACTCATTTACCTATGTTAAGAAACTATAGTATTTAATTATTTATTAATAGAATGAGACATTAAAACTTGTGACTACTTTGTCACAGAGGCTATGATAGGTGAAGGCATGATTTTATATTTTATAACATTTCTCTAACAACATGCAAACAGAAGTAACATCCTGAATATTTAACCTGCAGGAATATAATAACTAAGAAAAGGTGATAACAATTTTAATTCAGCAATAGACATCTATAACAAAATTGTAGCAGGGTGGGAGCTGCAAAAATGATCCTCTTCTTTACCTATGTCAAACTGCTAAAGATGCCAAGAGAGTTGTTACTAGTAAAATCATTAACTGGAAATTAAACACCCTGTGAAATTCGGCATGAGAAGTGCCAATCTCAATTGGAAATCTGCAATGATCCAAGGACGGATCAACAGTTGTGATTAAACCTAAACCCCCAAAGTCACAGCTTTCAGCTCTCTGATCATGCTGCTGATAATAACTATTAAAAGCATATGATACGTTACTAGGCCAGCTGATGTTAAAGCAAGATCCACCAGCAGATAGTGCTGTACAATCAGCATTTGCACAAGCCTCTAAAGCACTGGCAGTTGCATTAGACAAGTCTTTATTGTTGTTCACAACACACCACTTAGAAGAAAGATACTCAACATTTTGTGCATTCACAAGGCCCTTTGAACCCTGGCCAATATCCACATGGTACTTTGCTTGGCCATCAAAAGTGAACAAACCCCAATGTCTTTCAAAGTTTCCAGAAGCAATGCTCCTTTGGTCCTCGTCAAGAAGGCTTAAAATATATGTTTCGAGTGGAGGCTGACGTGGTCTAAGTGGGGTCCCCGAGTTGCTATCAAGGTGGTTTATAAGGCCTTTCATGAAGGTTTCTGCAAGATATGAGCTTGCATTGGCAGCTCCATCAGTTGGCCAACCAATCTTTGCCACAACAATGTCCATATTAGGAAATCCTAGTTTCGATAATACAGTTACCACTGTATCGTAGCTCAAGTCAAAGCTATTTTTGTATGTTTTGTGGTTAAAATTATGGGGGCGTGCAGTTTCTTTAAAGAGGGTAAAGTCCAGTGAAATGTTTTTGGTTTGAAGGAGGGTTATGAATGGAGAAATGGTCACAAAGAAAGGTGATCCATGCTTGTCAAGAAATGTGAGGAGCTCAATCATGGTTTTGTTGAGGTCAGCCCTCAAATGCACTTCAGATGACAAGTTAGATCCTGACTCAAAACTGTCAAAGCTGCATGGAACCACAACTTTCACTTTGCTGTCCAATTTTGCTCTCTTTAAAGCTGCTTGAATGTTCATAGCAGCTCCAATTATGTAGGGATGAAATTGTTCACCATAACTTTTAAGAAACGGCTCATCACCAACAGCAACATGTCTGCATAAGTTACATTTACAACCATATATAGAGTGAATCATACTTCAGAGATACATAATCCATTTTATTTCATCTTAGAATTCAATAGAGAGAGAGAGAGAAAGATTTAACAGTGCAGTTCAGTGTCTCTAGCCAGACTGTGCCAGAGCATACCTCCTAGATGAATTTCTTCAAACCCTCAAGAATGATAAAGATGAGACAAGATTGTCTTCCTATCTTCCCCAGAAGCAAATTTCTTAATATACATTGATCCCTTTAACAAGAATGTGGCTTGTTTTGGAACCATTGCATCGCTTCCACTTTAAAGCAGTGAGCATTCTATTATTCGATTCTATTCTACCTTCTAAAACATTCATCAGATATGACAAAAGGAAGGGTCGATACGCTTGTTCTACAACTACAGGGGAAGAACCATAGATAACAGAATATGTTCTAGAATTGATTTTTAGTAACAAAGCTCAGCACTTAGAACTGTTTCACAGAAGCCTGAAGTAGAATTGGAGTCTTAGTTAATTTATATTGTCATTACCACGGTAGCCAAGACTCAAGCATACTTATTAGGTGCTCCATAGCTTCTGAATGTAACCGATCGAACAAATAGTTTGCACAAGCAATCTGATTTGGTGGAAAACAGAAAGAGAAAGAGATTCAATTGAAACAACCTAAACCAAAAGCTAGTCTTTAAGCCAAGGCCCCCAACAAGTATCTGTAAGTTATAACGCATAAAAAAAACCAGATATCTACAGCATCAATATTCTAAGGATGCAGCACCAACATTTGAGCAAGTAAGTTTGGCACTAGCATTTCATGCTCCTAGCATGCAATACTGAGAAAACAGTAATGTTAATATGTTATGTCATTCAAAAAATCAATTCTTTAATGAAAAAGACCCAAACTTAAAGTTTCCATCTAAGATAAAATAAGCTGCATTTTTTTTCATGTAAGCAACTAACTGCTGTATTGTCTTCGGCATACATACATACATTTTTGTGTGTGTGTGTGTCTATGTATGTACTTAAGGCAGAAGCAGTAGCTGCAAATGCAATTCAACATATCATAAGATCACCACCTGCCATTATCTCCTTATATGGACTAGCAAGACAGTTTTATTTATGCCACACCCTACCCCATTTAAAGTGGCAATATGGCCAGAAATGAAGGGGTCACATGTAGTAAACCAAGAAAGCTGATGAATGAAGAAAAGTAGCATATTGAACCATTGTGAGTCTATTATGGAAAAACCATGTAACTTGACGGCTATGGTATGGTTCTAAAATTTCTAAACCTTTATTAAGCAGTCAATAATTTTTGTTTCACTCTTCAAAAGGTCATCAAAGGGAATATTAACAAATATGAAATTGAAAACCACCCTTGAGAATGTCCGGGATCATCATCAGTCAATTGAAAAATACAAAATAAGCAAAACAGTAAACATGTATTGAGAATTAAATTATTTATAAAAAAATTAATAAGAAGAATGACAATAACAAAAGAAAGCATAAGCAAAATAGAGGACCAAAGAAAAAGGGGGGCAACATAGATAACCAAGAAATCAGACTCACTCAATTCGAGTTCCACTGCCCCCATTAGATATATAGCGGGTAACATTATCATGGACCCAACTATCAGCAGCCTTCTTGGAAGAGTTCAAGCTTCTGAGCATAGTGTTAGGAATACCCACAGTGACAACAACGTTTGACCCAGAAAGAGCTTGAAGAACATCAGAGTTGGCATCAAAGAGCTTGACTTTGTTGATGTTGTTGGACTTCAAGAGCTTCACCACATTTGGGGGTGGCAGTGGGTGTGAAGCCATGGTGCCCCAGTTCACACCCACAGCTTCAGCCACACAGGCCATGCTGAAAATGGTGACGAAGGTGAATCCGATGAAGCAAAAAATGGTGGGCATTTGTTAAATGTGTAGATGGTTATAGAGAGAGAGAAAAGAGAGAGAGGGTTCTGAGTTCTGATGATGGTGGAAAAGGAACAAGGAATGAAAATGCAACTTTTGGTTGGGGCTTTAAGCTTTGGTGTGCAGTGTTATTTAGTTCAAAAAATTTTGGAGGCTGCAAATGGTAACTAGAGTCAATGGTGAGTAGGTGTTGGCTGAGTGGTGAAGGCTTAATTTAATATGTGAAGTGGACTGGTCAGAGGCCCATGGCTAAGGGTGCAACTACAGGACAAAGGAACATACATTCTCTTGCTTTTGTTTTTTGTTTTTCTTTGTTTATTACAATATTTTCTCTGAAGTGTCCTTTTAACCCTGTGATGGGGCACTTGATCATGGGCAACACTGATTGAGGCCCAATCTGCATTTCTTAGTGCATGTTTGCGATTTTTTTTTTTTTTAACTTCTTTTTTATTATAAATAGAAGTTTAGTCAAATGTAATTTTACAAAAAAATTTATCATAAAATTTTACAAAAGTTTAGTCAAACTTTTTTTTTAATTATACCTTTATTTTAAATTTTTATTTATAAATTTTATTATTTACCCTTATAATTTACTTTAATAATAAATTATTTTATCTCTCTTTTTTCAAAATTCTAAGAACAAATACAGTTACGAAATATTTTTAACTCTATTCTTTTTTATTTTTTTTAACTTTAACTTAAAAATAAATTTTAATTTAAAAAAAAATCTCAAACATTTTAGCTTTTGAAACTTTAAAGTACTCTAGCTTTAAGGGGGTGTTTGATAGGAGATGAATTTTTTTTAGAAAAATGGGGTAGGAAAAATTATTTGCCTACGTTTATGTTTGGTAGGAAGTGAAGTAAACATTTGGCTAGGAAAATTATTTTCCCATAATTTGCTTTTGTATGTAAAATGGTTGGAGAAGATTACCATTGAAGGGATGTAATTGTTTTTTTCCCATGTGATGAGAAAATTAACACACAGCATCTGTAAGATTAACTCAACATTTCCGGAAAAATTTTGGCCTACTAAACACCTTTTAGTAACTTACCCAAGAAAAAAAAAATTCCATCATATTCTCAGAAATTATTTTTTTTCCTCTATCAAACGCCCCCTAAGCTTTAATTTTTGGCTGACCAACCGCACCTGTATTCTAATTCTCTATTAAACAACATAGAATTGAACCACATAAGAGAAAAATGCAAAGGGTAAAGCATTTCTCCAGTTAATGGAGATAAGTTATCTCCAGTGAACACAAAATGACGTTGTTTTGTGGTGAAAATTAAAGTATTTTTGTAATTATAATTTATTGCAGGGTTATATTAGTCTTTATCATTATAACTTTTTAATCTTATAATTCCAAAACGACATCGTTTTAAGTTCACTGAAGATAACTTTATCTCCAATGACTGAAGAAATACTTTCCCAAAAGCAAAATATAAAAGGACAATTTGGTTGACCAACACTCAAGTGGTTGAATAGTTTTATTTTTTGACCAAAAAAAAAAAGAGCTGGTGAATTGTTGCCATCTTTTGATTTATATGTAAAGTTGACTAGCTATGAGCCTATGAACTTGTAATTCAATTTGTGTGAGTCTTAGGGGGTGTTTGGTATATGAGATATTTTTTTTTACTAGAAAAAAAGATTTCTGAGAATACAGTGGAAAATATTTTTTCTCAGATAAGTTACAAAAAATTGTTTGGTATGCCAAAATTTTACCGGAAAAGTTAGGTTAATTTTACTGATGTTATGGTTTGATTGATGGTAAAATATTGATGGGAATCTGAACCAAAATGACAAAATTACCCATCATTTTGACACGTGTTATTGTCTTATCAGGGCATTTTTGGGCTTATCAAGACATTTACCAAATGAAAACATGTTTCCTGGTGTGGGAAAAAAAACAATCCCATGGGTAATGTGAGATTATTTTTTTGCCAATGTACGGTGGCGGAGCCACATAATGTGTGGATGGGGCCTTGGCCCCGACTTGTATTTGAAAATTAGCCACATCTTTAACGTGGTTTCTGGATAATATTTAGTGTTAAGCCCCATTTAAATTTTTGTTGGCCCTAACTTAATGAATTAGCTGGCTCCGCCACTGCCAATGTATAGTTCAAAACCAGATTGATGGGAAACAAATTATATCAGAATTTTTTTTCTTTTACTCATACCAAACATGGTAAACAAATTTTTTCCACCCCATTTTCCCATCATTTCACCCAAAATCTATATACCAAATAGCCCCTTAATGTTTAAGATTGAACCATAACAAATTGACAATAATTTTAAAAGTCTTTAAATAATAATATGAGATTAAAGTATCTGCTGTAACTTTAGATAAGAATGTTTGTTGTTCAATTAAACGACACCGTTTTGGTCTTTTTTTAAAAATCAAATTGCTTATGGTGCAACTCTTCTGTCTTCACCTCGTTTGCTTGCCTTCTTTGTTTCTTCTTTTATAAATGATAGTCATCACATCGCTGTTTCTTCTTGAGCTTCCTTATTCAAGCATATGGTTTTTGTTTGAATCATCTTCATCTTTGTCTCTCTAGTACGTGAAATTATGCTGCTTCATTCTTGAATTTCAGTTTTTTAGCTACTATATAATCTTTTGCGCATATTTGTGATTTGGGTGGTTGCTATAATTTACAGTGTTTTTCTTGTCTTCTACATTGATGCGCATCTAGGTTGATTAAGTTGATATTGGACCATAATGTAAATGCATAGTAATTTGGATATGTCGTGTCGTGTGAATGATGACCCTTTGATATTTTACTTTGTCTTATTTTGTCGTTGACGTGTTATTATGGTACTACTACACCTACCTAGTATCAGTTAATCATTTGTGAAAAAGAAAGAAAGAGCAATTTCACCCACATGCCCCCAACTCTCTCGAATTTAATTCTTTTGTAAATAAAAAAATAAAAATGAGTGAAGCTATTCTTGTTGTCGTTGCAGCTGCAATTGGTAACTTACTGCAAGGATGGGACAATGCTACAATTGCAGGTCATTTTCTATTTTCCTATTTTGTGAGATTTTGCATTTGGTTAGCCAAGTCAACGTTGCATCTTCATCATTGATCTTGCTTTATTTTTTGTACACAGGATCCATTTTGTACATAAAAGGGGAATTTAAATTAGAAAGTGAACTCACATTAGAAGGTCTAATTGTGGCTATGTCACTTATTGGAGCCATTGTGGTTACTAGATAAGCTTTGAACCATTGAGCACTCTTCCTTTTTGTTCTCCACTCTCTTCTTCTCTTGTTTGAATTCATAAACAAGAAACTGAATATATAGACTCATGCTTTTGTTCTTTTTTTTTCCCTCTGTGTTCAGATGAAGATTTTTTTTCCAGTTTCTTGCTTTTTGATCACAAACAATAAGTATATTCTCAGTTTTTTCTATTCTGTTCTTGATACAAAAAAACAAACTAAATATATAGACTCATGATTTCTTTCTTTTTTCGTCTTTATAGGCTATTGATGGAACACTCCCAAATAACAATTATTGAAGACATGAGTGAAAGTGTAGTATCTTTATATGACATTGTTGAATTGGAGAAAGAGAGTGATGAGATAAGTGAAGATGGTCAGTGTGAAATTATGAATCAAGACAAAGACGGTGATTGTACGCAAGACAATTGCCAATAAATTATGGGAGATGATAGTGAGTTTAATGAGCCTCCTGTAATGATTTTGCAAAAGTTAAGGGGTTCAGATTACGTAAGCGTTACTTTAACAGGAGTAGAAGAACACAACAACCATGTTTGTGGAATTATGTGTGCTCAAAGCAAGGTGTCAAGAATCTAAATGATAAAAGAATTGATGTTAGCAATGTCAAAAGGCGAAGGGATACAAGGACTAATTATTTGGCGATGTTCCAAATAAAGTTGGTGAATGGATTATGAAAAGTGGAGAAATTCAATGATTCACATAATCATCCATTGATTAACACTCCGTCAAAGGTGAGCAAGTTTCCTTCTCATAATGACTTACGTCGCTCCGATTTTACTAAATCTATTGTTTCTAAACTTTATGAGGAGGGTTTAACGTCTTCAAAAATCTCGAAGGTGGTGAATGCTATGAACAAAGAAGTTAACATCACTCCTGGTCAAATTAGCACTATTATCAAGCCAGCATAAGAATAATGTAGGAGGAGAATGTCAGGACATCATCAAACACTTTCAAAAGGAAGGATAAATTTTTTTCAGGAACAAGAAATAAGAAAAGAAAAGCCTAAAATAATGTTAAATAGTACATACCAAGCCTTAGTAATGAAGTCATTGATAGTCATCCCTTGTTTTTATGAGTGTCTTGCATCCAATTTCATGAACCTGAACATATAATTCAACCTAGTTTGGGTGAAACTCTCAAGTTCATCATCGGCCCACAATAGTAGCGAAAGAACTGGAATTCAGGTATGGATAAATTCACGTACCAGAGAAACGAAGACGACTATCATTTACGAAAGAGAAAACAAAAAAGGCAGGCGAACGAGGTGGAGACGAAAGAGTTGCACCATAAGCAATTTGATTTAAAAAAAAAGACCAAAATGATGTCGTTTAATTGAACAACAGATATTTTTATCTAAAGTTACAGTAGATACTTCAATCCCTAATAATATCTATTTTAGAAGATGGAGTTATTAGCACTCATAATTATTTATATTAATGGTTAAATACTTGTAATTATAATTTTTAAACTCTCTCTTACCAAAGCATGATTATAATTTTCTATATTTCAAAGTTGAACCCGAAAAAATATAATTAAATTAATGGTATTATAAAAATAGGGTAGGATATACTTACCACCAAAAAGATTTACTTACCACCAAAGGGGCAGTATATACTTACCACCTTTACAACCAATCTAATCATCGTTGATTTCTGTCAATCTAACGGTTATAATTTATTGAGAATTAATAATTAATTAATAAATGCGATCCAATAATTTCCAATAAATTATAACCGTTAGATTGACGGAAATCAATGGTAATTAGGTTAGTTTTGGTGGTAAGTATATCATTTCCTTTTTATTGGAAATTATTGGATCGCATTTATTAATTAATTATTAATTCTCAATAAATTATAACTGTTAGATTGACAGAAATCAACGATGATTAGGTTGGTTGTAAAAGTGGTAAACTTTTTTGGTGGTGAGTATATCCTGTCCCAAAATAAATGTATATCCTTCCCCTTATAAAAATTAATCAAAAAATAAATATAAATACGTAACTGAGATCACCAATAAGTAATAAATTATGTATTCTAATTTTAGATCCTAAGATGCAAATCTTCCTCAAATCATTCGCCAGACTCTTCGTCATGCCTTTTACGCTAGTCACTGAGTGTGCGCTTTGCAGAATGCACATCCCTGTCTTCCTCCAAAGCATTGTGTTTGAAGATTAAAGGTTCATTTTTCATTTCCTAATTAAAATTTTCTCTTCTGGGTGGTGTCTCTTTCTTTTATAAATAATTTCGTTCTTTCAGTTTTATTGTTAAAATTGTCTTCTTTGATCAAATATGTGTGGCCTAGACTTCGTGAATGACATTATGTGTAAAGTTCTCAATATGTCTTTGATATTTACTTGAATTTACCAAAGGGGGAATGGATATTTTATTTCTCGTCTGCTAGCATTACCTAATTATGCCCATTAATGAATTTGAATTCTTTACATTTATTCAGTTTAGAACATTGATGTCACTAGTTATAATCTCTACAGGTATCCATGGTTATGTTGGTCACTTTGATATCCATGTCAGTAGTTAATACGTTATATTTCAAATTTTTCTGCAATATATTATGGATTTGATAGTTGTTTTTCCACTGTTTCTGCTTGAAAACTTTGCAGGGGCGTTTGGTACATGAAAAATTTTTATTTGTCCGAGAATCTCGATTTTTAAAAATATGATTTTTACATTTAATTTACGATAATATCTGAAAATTTAAAATTTTAAAAATTTCAATTTCCCAGAAATCCAGAAAAAATCCGTGTACCAAACGGCCGCTACAGTCTCTCTTATTCGTTTTTTAATCTTCCTTTATTTTTTCATACTGCCTTGCCAGCATTTTTCAGCTCACCTAACCTATTTTGTCCTTTACCCTTCTCTTACAAAGCCTGTAACTTCTGAAAATATGTTCTATAATAGAAATATTATTTCTTACTTAAACAATAAATAAATAAAATATGAGCGTAAAATATAAAAATAATAATATATTTACAATATCCTTATCTTTATGTATATTTACTCCTGTATCTTTTTTTCACCCTTTTTAGTCAGGGGAGTGGATGCTCCCTTATCACACAAAATGTGCGTGTACCTTACATGGTTCCCGTGAACTTGTAAATGAAAACAGCCACGGAAGCTTAAAAAAGAGTTATGGAATTCTTAACTCATTTTAGTATTATCCTGAATATCATGGATGATTTTGATGAGTTGAAGAGGTTGTGGTAACCGGGATAAGAGGCTCAAAGCAAGCCACTCTGAGAGAAGATTGAGATGGAGAGGCTAAGAGGATTCAAGCTGAAGAAGAAAGGAAGAAGAGAGAAGCAATAAGAACGTTGAACTAGAGTGTGAAAACTGCAAGCTCGAGAAGTAGAAGGGAAAAAAAAAGGGGTAGATAATAGCAATGGTGTGGCTGAGCTTAGGATAAAAAACAGAATTGGAGGAAGTACTGAAGAAGAATTTGGCAACCCTTGAATTTGTCAAAAAATTCAAGGTTCTTATTTTGTAAACAAATCCACTTTCCTTTCACTTCCTTTGGTGATGTTTGCGTGCTCTCTTTTTTCTCTCTCACGCAGTTTCTCTCTCTTCTTCTGCTTGAATCCTCTTTGGCCTTTCCATCTCAATCTTCTCTAGAGTGGCCCAAATCTTAGCTTTGAGTCTCTTATCCCTGGCCACTACAACCTTTTCAACTCTGTCATAATCATCCATGATATGCAGGACATTTCTGCTCAAGAGAAGAAAGTTGGGATCAGTTTCGGTTTTGAGTTATAAGTCCATGAGAACTACGCAAAGGTACAAACTTTGGAAGAAAAGGGCTAAGGAGATAATGGGTTTCACCAAAGTCACCGGCTTTTCATCACGCTGAAAATGGCTGGCAATGTGGGTATGAGTAAGAAAGGAAGACCAAAAAGGCTTGTTCTTGAGCAGAAGAGAGATAGATTGTGGGTATTTTCTTCATCATATAGATTATTACAGCATGCTTAGTAGAAAACCTATGAAATTTTAGTGTAGAATTATGTTCAGCAAGTTTCTCCTTTGTTCCGCATCAGTTCAAGTTCTTTGTAGGCACACATCAGGCTATCAAACTATTGAAATAGGATACAAACAGTAAGTAGTAAATGTTTTTGCTTGATATATGTTTTCTGCTTCCTATTTCCTAATTTTGAAACTTACAATTATAATAATATTTATATTCCTATAAAGCCTTCGGTTTACAGTTTTCTACCTGGAGATGTGTAAAGGCATTCGTATTTGATTCTTCACATGTTAGTAGTAACAGTTTTTTTTAAATTTTAATGGTACTTCAGCTTAGTAATAAATATGTGAGTACTGATATGTTAGTTCAGAAACTGCTAGCCATTTGTTACCTCCCTTTGGAATTGGCAGTTTGCAGTTTCTGCCTTTCTGGTGAATCTACATTTTTCAAAACAATTTGCTTTGTCCATAGATTTAATATGTATAGGATTGTTTTATTTTTTTTATGGGAAAAGTTCACCAATGCCCTTGTGGTTTTTTTTTTATCACACATGCCCCTGTAGTTTGCAAAATGGTATGTTTTTTATCACATATGCCCCAGTGGTTTTTTATTTTTTACAAAGCACAGAGGCATATGTGATAAAAAAAACCACAGGGAAATAGTGATTCTGAAGCAAACCACAGGGGTATTGGTGAACTTTTCTCTTTTTTTAACTATGGCTTATTTCAGGGGATTTCTGTGAAGGGATTGTAAATCATTTTTGTGCTGATGAGGCAGTTCTGTTCCACCTAGTTGTGTGTATATATCTTTGTTGAGGAGGATCCTCATCCTCCTTTGTTGCCCTTCATTTCTCTTCTTAATAATACTTCCATCTCTATAAAAATAAAAAACAGTGACTGAGCCTTTTCTTTTGTAGCCATACTTGGAAAAGATGGCTTTACAGTCGCCAGGAAGCAAGTTGGCACTAAGTCATAAGCATGATTGGCTGATTCTTCTGCTTCTTGCTGCTATAGATGGAGTCTTGAATATGATAGAACCTTTTCATCGCTATGTTGGGAAAGACATGATGACGAACCTTATGTTTCCATTCAAAGAAGATACTATACCCATGTGGGCTGTCCCAGTATGTACCTGTCATAATGCCAATAAACGATAGAGTTGCCTCCTATTATAGGTTATAGCTCCATTTTTATTAAGGAAACAAACTTAACATTTTTATTATTCCTGGAACAGATCCTCTCTATTTTCATCCCCATTCTTATCTTTGTTGCGTTTTACTTTGTCAGAAGGGATATCTACGATTTACACCATGCAATACTGGGTATTTTCTTTTGCTCTCTCAGTCTGTTACTGTTTGATTACTTTTCTGCTTTTGACCCCTTGTATCTCATTGGAATGATTTCTTTAATTTGGATATTAGGTCTCATGTTTGCTAGCTTAATAACTGGAGTAATCACAGATGCCATTAAAGATGCTGTTGGTAGACCACGGCCAAACTTTTTTGAACGGTGTTTCCCTGACAAAAAACCGGTGTGTTTTAGTTCTCATTCTTCGTATTTGGTAACCTTTAGCTTCTCATTCATTCCTTCTTATTTTCTTTGGCCTTTTCTCTTTAATTGATTACTTACTGCTATGAGTAATGAGTGTATGACCTTTTCTTCCCTTACTGACCTGACATTGGTTCGCTCAGGTGTTTGATAAGGACACTGGTGATGTTCTTTGTACTGGGATTAAGGCGGTTATAAAGGAAGGATATAAAAGCTTTCCTAGTGGTCATACTTCATGTAAGTAGAAGAATATCCATTTCAAAAAATTTGGCTAGTTGTTGATGATATGAACCCATTCTAGAAGGTTGACTGAGCATCGTATATCAAAATTATGCATTGTAAAATGTAAAGGATTGTTTTGTTTATAATTGAATGCTTTGGTCTTTAATTTGGTAATTAATGGTTAACCAAATGCAGGGTCCTTTGCTGGTCTTGGTTTCCTTTCATGGTATTTGTCAGGGAAAATTAGAGTGTTTGATCGTAGGGGCCATATTGGCAAACTATGCCTGGTCTTGCTTCCTTTACTTATTGCTGCTCTTGTGGGAGTTACTCGAGTTGATGATTACTGGCATCATTGGACTGACGTGTTTGCTGGAGGTCTTATAGGTTAGAAGTTACAATGATTATCATAATGCAGTGCATTCCATTATTTAAATTTCATTTTCTGCAAAGAATGCCTGTAACTCCCTTTGATCTGTTGCTTCAGGAATTATCGTGTCTTCAATCTGCTATTTGCTACTCTTTCCCTTTCCTACTTATCCAGATGGTAAGAATTCTTGTTATTGATTATCTCATTCTCATCCTTGAATTTCGATTTAGGCCTCCAGTTGCATTGCTTTCCTAGAGAACATGAGTTGCCTGCAAAATTGTGGTTGAAATGGAGTTGAGAGATATAGATGATATTGATTTCAACCTGCAGCTAAGATAGGCCTTAATCTGCTGCTAGTTCAATTAGAGCAATATGAGCGCATATATGGTAGTGTCTTGGCTGTAATGCTCATATTTCCTTAAATAAGTCGGGATTTTATGAAGAGTGATTTTTTATGTGTTGGATGATATACTTAAATAGGTGAAGTTTAACTCAATCTTTGGTTTTCCTGACTTCTCATATTTTTGTACAAATGTGTAGGTTGGGCGCCTTATGTATTTTTTCATATGATGGGAGAAAGTGAATGTACTTCCCAACGAGGAAGTAGAACTCCACATGTAGGAAGGTTAGATGAAATGTCTTTGAGGATGGAGACATGGAAAGATGGACAAGATATCAGTGATTGCTGACTTCTTTTATGAATTAACAAGAGATTATACTATTTGCTTCTAATCTATAACGAAATTAAATGTCAGTTTAGAAACATTAGGAGTGTATGTTCAGGTATACATCTAATAGGCAGTTAGGCACCATTCAAGATTGCTGCTTCATTTTGTCGAATTTTGGATTAAGATTCTCGAAGTGAAAGATCCATTTCACCTTTTCTAGAGTGTTGAATTTATAATTATTAGTTAAGAAATTAATTATTTGTATTGATATTATACTAGTACATAAATAAGAAATTGTTAATTTTCTTTTTTGCATCAATTTCACTCAAAAGTTGTTGTGGGATTTAAATTTGTTTCATAGCTGACATGAATGAGAGTGAATCTTCTCATATTAAAAATTCAGGTGAAAGAATCATGTGCAATTTTAATATGAAATGATTCAGAATTCCCGACACGAATAGAGGAGGTGGTGTAGGCCACCGCCCTAACAGCTCCAAAATGAACCTGTCCCTTGAACATTTTAGAAGAGCATGTTGTACTTCCTTTTTTTTTTTTTCCTTCGTTTTTCAAATGTACACCTATCTCATTAATTCATGAATAGGTCCTGATCAAGTTCGATCTTATGCTAGTTTGATCTTTTGCGTAAAAAATAAAATAAAGTAAGAACACGGGACTATCGTTACTCTTTTATAAACCATAAAATAATACTTTTATACAAATGATTGTTGGCAAGAAATTGAATTAATTCCATGAGCAAAAGGGCCCCTCATATTTTTGTACTGTGCAGCTTGGTGAGCACTATCTATTTTTCTTTTGACAAAGTATACGTAGTCACAAATTTAAGACCCCAACATCGTTCCCATAAGGATTTTTTAGCAAAAAAGTACAAAAAAAAAAAAAAATTACAATTGCTCAAAATAAATTCTAAAAAGAAATTAAAATTAAATTGGTTAAACAGAAAACTAGAGAAATTAGAGATTAATGTTCGCTTAAGAGGTTCTGAATTAAAATTGAGGTCACTTGCTTAAACACAAAGTAAAATAAATTGAGAAAATTATTTTGGGAATTTTCTGTTTGATTATATTTTCATAAAGTTACTAAGAACTTAAATGAATAAAGATAAAGCAGAATTTTTTCAAAAAAAAAAGATAAAGCATAAATTGAAAAAGTTTTAAGAGTTCTAATTAGAAAGAATGGATTGGGTTTTGGTTCACCCCTTCCTACAACATTGCAATGGATAAATTCCTTTAACAAAATACTCAACAGTTATTTTCAATTAACTGGCTTAACATTAACCTTTAATCCCTTAAAAATTATTTTACCAAGAATCAGCCACAAACATATCCCTATGCATATGGGACCTGAATTCTTGAAGAACATAGCCTTAGTTGCATGGTTGGTTAACTCATGTCTAAATTAAATTAACTCCTTGAATAATTCCTCATTCAAGTCCATGCGTTTAAACCCTGGTCAGAAAAGAATTCTTTCCCAACAACTCAGTTCTAAGGAAGATTTTACACTCGGTCGAAATGCAGAAAATCTTCAACAAAGAAATACAAAATCTTATTCCTATGCTCAATTTACAACCTTTCCAAACTCGTTTTTTTTTATCTCTCTGTGTTTTGGTGCAACCTTTCCAGCACATCGATTACACGCAGACAACGCAAATATGTTTCAATTTGTGCAAGACAATAATTTTATTCTTTGGCATTGTTTATAGGGAGAATTTTTTCTTATTATTAATGTGGCTATGAAGAATTTTCGGATAAAAAATATATTTAATAACATAATTTAATATGTATTTAGTGTTAACACATTTTATTATATTTATATTTAATAAATAATATGTCAGAAAAAAATAATTTTTTAATAATTTATATTTCTTGACATCCAATTTATTTACTAAAATAAAGAGATAAATTTTACCAAAAAAAATAAAAAAAATAAAGAGATAAATCAACTTTATGCACCGCTGTCTTTATCGAATTATGTTCATCATACTTAAGAAATAGAGCAAAAAATTTCTTCCACACCCTAAATATTTGAGATTTTCCATATTAAAATTTTGTTAAGTTATATTTAATTGAAAAGAAACAGTTTGCATCGAAATAGAGGACGGCGAATTCAGCGCTCCCGGACCACCACTCAATAGTCTGACGCAATTAAAATTGAACAATTTTTGCCATGTGCATATTGAAAAAAGAAAAAGAAAAAAATAATTTTGGATCATGTGATCCTAGTTCACTAAAAAAAAAAAATCCGAAATAGAGAGAGAAAAGTGAGTTTGGAATGAAACATAATTAGAGTTAAAAAAAATGGTTGTAAACTACATTACTCGCTACACTGAGTAGCGAGTTTGTAATTAAATGATGTGTAAGTGAACGTAATTCGCTAAACAGGAGTTAGGCCACGTGAATTACTGTTGCAGACTGCGCAGTTTGACATATTGACTGGCCTAACTCGCTGCACTTTCAGTGAATTAGGGGGCTTCAAACTTGTTGCCATGTGTCTAGACATAACTCGCTGATGTGACATTTGGGCAAATTTTAGCTTATGCACAGCATTCTGATAAATATTTGTTAGGGGCGTGGCAAAAAGATCGTTGTCTCAATTTTATCTCTTATAACATAAATATAATAAAATATGAGATAATGAGAAGTGGGATGAACCTGGCCGACATCATGCACCGAATCCAATTTCTAAATTCCAAGCCTATTTCAATTAACTATACTCTTCAACAACCTTAATAACTATATGCCGTGAGGTACACAAATAAAAAGAAAAGAAAAAATCTGTTTCCCGTCGCTGCCACAGTTTCGTGTTGGGTCCCTCCACCTGGCATGTAACTCAAGTCAGTTACCCTCTTCTCCTTTTGAACTCAATCTCAGATTCGGCAATGGCTTCTTCCTCCACCTTTTCTCTTTCTCTGCTCTGTTACCTCTCTTTCTTTACCTTCTTCTCTCCCTCTCAATCTCAATCTCAATCTCACAACAAGGTCTTGTTAGAGTTGTACTATGAAAGCTTATGCCCCTACAGTGCAAACTTCATCGTTAATTACCTCCCTAAGATCTTCAACGATGACCTTATCTCCATCGTTGACCTCAACCTCGTTCCTTGGGGTAATACCAAGCTCAGAAGCAACGCCACCTTTGATTGCCAGGTTCCATTTTAATGTGAATTGCAAATTGTGTCTTTGTGTGTTTGTGTCTATTTTCCCATTCATCAAAAATTCGCTTCTGATTTTATTTATTTATTTTATTTAGCATGGCCCATATGAGTGCTTGCTGGACACCGTTGAAGCGTGTGCAATCAATATCTGGCCTGAACTGGTAAGAATTGCTTTGCCCCTTTGGTAAGATTTTTTTTTTTTTTTTTTTTTTAAATGGTTCTTGCTTTAATTGAGATTAGGAGTACTATGATGATTAGGATAAGTTGAAAAAAAAATAAAATTGTTTATAAGCTAAAGAAGATAAGAAGTTGAGAACAGTTACTTGTTAATAATCCAAGGACAATTATTTGGAAATAATTTTGGAATTTTGCTCTTTGTCTGTGTCTGTTGTCTCTTTCATGCAAACAAACTGGGTTTTTATCTTGTTAGTTTAAATTTTTAATGTTGCAGATCATTCTTAATCTGATTTTACTGTTGGTTCAGTATACTAATACTTTGCATGTATATCACTGTTATAAGTATTTATATAATTCACACCTTTTTGCAGAGCAAGCATTTTCCTTTCATCTATTGTGTTGAGAACCTGGTGTATCAGGGTAAGCGCAAAGAGTGGGAATCTTGTTTTGAGAAAGTGGGTCTGGATTCAAAGCCTATTGATCATTGTTATAAGAGTGAATATGGAAAAGAGGTTAGTTCTTTTTCTCTGATTTAGTTATTGTCCTTGAAATACTGTGCTCTCACAGAGACAGTTATATGTATATTAGCTACTAACTGAAAGACTTTCTACTGGCTACCCCATTTTCTTTCCTTAAGAAAAGATATTTAAGTGTTCTATATTAAATAACTTTTTCTTTTCTATTGTAAAGAACCAATTCAACCCAAAAACTTAAGCTGTTAGGTGAGGGCCTCTTTAATGGTTTATATTATACTCTAACACATCCTCTCACACGAGAGCCCACTGGGCTTGAAGGGTGGATAATGCACAGGCTCACCTACCTGTGTTAAGAAAATTCCACAATGGGAGGCGGTGAGAATCAAACCTGGGACACGAGACTCTGATACCATGTAAAGAATCAATTCAACTCAAAAACTTAAGCTGTTGGGTGAGGGCCTCTTTAATGGTTTATATTATACTCTAATATCTATAATTGTTTTTTATGAACCTTTAAGTTGTAGTAACACTGCTAAATGAACCAAACTGGTGTAAGCTTGAGAACTAGAAAGGTTGAACAGTCATATAGATGGAGAATTGGTGCAGCCTTCTTGATTCTCTATTTCGCTAAGAATAGATAATTGAATCTCACTTTTAGTAGAGATAATCCATGTCAACAAACTGTTACCGGCTCTATTTTTGGGATATTAGATCAGGTGCTAGTGACAATGCTTTGATCTGGCATTTGTTCTGTGCTTAACTACTAATTGTTTTTGTTCTTCAAATCATCAAAATGAAATAACTAATGAAAAGTAATTTTAACTTATTCTAACAATTACTTCAAAAAGCTTGTCCTGGTTTTGATTTTTGCAGAACCCAGAAGCAGTGTAATATGTTCTTTGAATAACCTTATATTCACAGATGATTTATAGCTTCTTTGCTGCAACTAGTACCAGAATCAATAATAGAACTGCCAATTTGTAGCTTCTTAACATTCATATTTTTTCGTGATTGTTAGAGAAATATAATATAAAACCGTTAATGTTGCCTTAACCTAATATCTGAAGTTGTTGGGTTGAATTAATTCTTTACGATGATAATTTGGCAAAATCCTTTTCCAGTATATTTCCTAACTTGCAAAATGTTAATGTTGAGACCATCTCCATACAGTAAAAAAGATATGATAGATGGGCTGAGTCTATATATCATTTGTTTGTCTGAAGTTTTTCTTAGGTAACATTTACCATCCCAAGAAAAATTGTGATAGTAAATCTCATGCTAGTGGCCATGCTTGTACCTAGCATTGTGATGTGCTCATCTACTGCTAATCTGGCTTATCTGATGAAAAATCATTTAAACTGATTCTAACAATTGCTTTAGGGAAAAGTGGTTCTAATTTTGCTTTCTTACAGTACTCTGAAGCAATGTAATATATCTAGAAAATATCTCATAATATTGTTATTGTATCTTAGAATGTTTTAAAGTATCTTTGATGATCTCTTTGGAGTGGTTTCCATATTTTATTATATTTCATAATTTGTTTTCTCATTTAATTAAGATTAGGAGTCTAGAATTAATATAAATACGGTTTAGTGCTTTATATTTTGTGTCGCATCTTATCAATCAAATCAATATCAATTTTAGATTACTCATTCTCTATTTTCAACTTTCCCTCCTTCTCCTTCCCAACCTAAAATCCTTTAATTTAAACATGGTATTAGAGTGATACCATCCTCCATGACATATCTCGTCATTAGTCCGCTATTGAATTTGCTAAAATCTGGAACTCTACTGCAACAATGCTGTTATCTCCATTGTTTTTTTTCTTCTTCTTGGTCGTGCACAAATTCTAGCCATTGAAACCATAAATCAGTGTCACTTTCTCTCTCTTCGGTGATTGTGGGTGTCAGATCTACATCTACCCTCATCCACGCATCCTTTTACCTAGCAAGTTATATTGTTTGTTGTTGTTTAGTAAGACATTTAGAAATCGGAATATATCCGAATTCACAAAGGGTAAGAATTTGAGTGATCAAGATGGATCTATATTATACAAAAATAAATATGCACCAAAGAATAAAACGGTGGAACTCAGTATTATTGAAGAACAGATGCAGAAAAATGATGAAGAATGCAGAGAATCCGAGCCCAACAAAGTTCTCCTTAAGACAATTTGTTCCCTTTATTGATGCCCAAGGTTAGCGAACAATGTCTCACAGGATAGAATGGATTGACATCTCCAAAATGATGGCACTATCGATCGGGAGCCTCCACGAACACAATTGAATGTTTGAGGAATCACACACTGTAAGCGCCTAAGGCTGTATGAACTATGACTTTGGATGCACAGAAATGACTAAGAAAAATTTCGGCAGAGTAACGATGCACAAGATCTGGATTGTTTTCTGTTGGTGTCAACGTCTATATATAGACACCGAAAGGCGAACGCACCGATTCGGTTCAAAACCGAAAGCGAAAAGGAAGAACCAATTCGGCGGGAAGCAATGGCTAGAACAGGGGCATTTTGGACAAAAATAAATTAATAAATATTATTTTATTTTTCTCACGACCGACCGAACCGAACCTGCAGCAGTGCGCGTCTGGTGGACCAGGGCCCACCTGCGCTCTCTCTCCTCCACAAAAGTGGTGTGAAGGGGCAACTAGAGATGTGAGGTGGATCTTTATAAAGCCTTCCACCATTTATTTCTTGCCCAATGTGGGACTTCAAACCCTTTCATCTTCCCTTTTTTTCTTCTTCTCCAAGCTACTTCTTATTCATAACCCATGGAGTTTTAGATACAAATTCTAACATTTGTGACATGCACCAGCCCTATCTCTGTATGTAGTCTTGCCCCGTCTCTTTCCTAAAAGTAGTCTAAGCCTTGTTTATAGTCCCAAATGCTCTGAAATTGTCTCTAGTTCCAGACGTTGTCGCCTGCTATTGCATTATATTTTTAGTTTATTTTCTCTTAGAATGTTGCTAGCTTTAGATTAAGGAGTGTTTGAATATCTAGAAAATATCTCATAATATCATCATTGTATCTTAAAATGTTTTAACCCTTTAATTTTAACTAGTTATAAGGCCTTCTTTGCTGCAATACCAGAAGATACAATAGATTTGCCAATTTGTTGCTTCTTAATATGGTCTTTCTTCATGAAAATTTGGCAAAATCCTTTTTCAATATTTTGCCAAACTTCCAGAATGTTAATACTATCTCTTTATAGGTATAAAAAAGTATATTACAGACGTGCTTTGAGTCTTATTTGGCTGGAATTTTTTCTCTCAAGTAGCATTACCATCTTTTTGCAGCTGGAGCTACAGTATGCAGCTGAAACAGATGCTCTGCAGCCTCCTCATGAGTATGTTCCATGGGTAGTTGTGGATGGAGAACCACTTTATGAGGTTGGTTTTTGCAATTTTATATCTAGCTAAACATACACCATTCCCTATGTTTGAATTTTCATGAACCTATACCTCTAATTAATAAATAATTTATGACAATTAAATTTGTGGTTTACATATATAAGTTGTATTAAATAATGAATGAAATTACACATGTACTGGGAATTCTAAAGAATTTGCGAATTTCTTTTGCTGCAGGATTATGAAAACTTCTTAAGCTATGTCTGTAAGGCTTATAAAGGTCCTGCACCCAAAAGTTGCACTCAAACATACCTTAATACTGTTCGTAAAGTGGAAGCAAAGCCTAAGCATTCAATTTGCAGTATGGAAGGAGTGATGCTAACATGGGAAAAGGTAAGGTCAACCATTACATCATGGAAGCACCAGATGAACCTCATAGGTGCAATTTAGATGTGCCAATGCTGCATGCGATTTAAAAGCGTTTGGTTCCTGTTCACTTGTAGTGATACCTAGAAAAGTGAAAATAGAACTTGTGATGGATTGGTAGGTACTTTCTCAGTAAAACCCTGTTGTGTATAACTTAATAAATGCATATCGATATTTTGGTTATTCCATCGTATGGAAAGGGGGAACTGAACACATTATATACGCAAATAAATCTATATATTTTTAGAGTAAATACCCTTTTTTCGTCCCTGGCAATTTTCACGAAGCCCCTTTTGGTTCCAACAATAAAAAAGACTTATTTTGGTCCTTAATTTTACAAAAATAGGGCCACGTTTGTCCTTCTGTTAGTTGGCATCCAACGGTCCAACTAACGGAGCACACGTGGAACGTTAGTTTGCTAAGTCACCGTTAAGTATGCCAGCGTGGAAGTAATACGATGCCGTTTTGAACATGCCTCATGTCTTCTTGGAGTTTTGGACAGCTGACCCTAGCATCGAAGACCCTATTTGGTCCCTGACAAATTTATCGAGGTCCTATTTGGTCCTTAACACTAAAAAAATGGACATGAACACAGAAGTTGCAAGGCATATTGCAGCAAACCACAAACCACAAACCACAAACCTTTCAAACCACCATTGCAGTAATCCACTGGCCCTATTTTAAATGTATGATAGCAACTTAGTGGAACCTCAATGCTTCTAGAACTTTGTAATCTATCAATCAACTTCATTCATTGATAAGTCAATTAACAGAGAAGATTCATGTTCCTAATGCTCGTAGCCTCAAGTTAGGTTTATGCTCAAGTTAGGTTTATGCTGACTGAAATGTATTACTTTTCTGCAAAGTTTTTATTCACCCATATAAGGCTAAGAAACCTACCAATTACAAGTTCTTATCATTGAACAAAGTTTATACTTCCAGGACATTTCTTATCACTGAACACTGATAATCCCTCAAATATTTCTCCTAAATTCTACAATCCCTTTAAATTCTTACACGAGTCAGAGGAGAAATTACATGGCAATATATTCAAAAATAAGGAGAGAAAAAAAGATCTTAGCTCCACTTGGTGTTGCCTTCCCTCATCCACTTTCCAAGGCTTTAAGAGGTAGCAAGAATCAGAGAAATTTTTTTTACAAGAATTCAATTGGTGCTGCTGCTAAGTGAAAGGCATTTGGTCTGTAGCATGTTCATATATGGAGTGGCATTGGAAAAATATTTTGTTTCTGCATCCAAATAACTTGGACAATCTTCTTTTATATTTTCAACTTTCTATTTGTCATGAGCAAAGATGGTAAGACCAATGAGTTTGTTTGCAGAGTGTTTTTTGCCCTCATTTTTTTTCAATATGTGTTTTTGCCTTTTCTCCCTGGACTTTATGGACATGAAGTAAACTTGTTTCTCCAACATTAACATACATACTCTCTGTAACACCCCGTATATATCCGGTAATGTTATCATACTATCGTATTAAGCTGCGCTTAATAAAAAATTGCGGAATATCTTCTTCTTTTCAATTATGATGTCATTATCATTACCAACTTGCTTATTAATCAATTAATAAAACATCCCTGTATGCAATTGCAATAAAACAGCTAACTGAAATACCTCATTAATTAAAACAACATAATGTATGTCTCTAGTCACGGAACTACAACACGTAGACCGGACCAACTATCAGTTCATACAACACAACTCAAAAGTACTAACAACAGAGTGGCATGGACAACTCCCATGCTCACCCAAATAAGGCAACAAAGCCCAACATAAGTCTCAACATCAACAACATAATAATAATGCGGAAAACATAAACAGCATCCAGTCCAGTCATGTTAGCAAATAAGCAGTAATATCATAATCAGCTAAGCTCCGGCCTCCTGCCGCCAGAGGCATCAGTCACCATACTACCTGAACCTGAAATAAGCATTCCCCAAACGTGGGGTGAGATCTCTAAACAAGAAATCTCAGTAAGACAAGGGGTCCTCAAGGATCTTCCACCCCAAGCTCACTTACATGTGCAATATAAGTTCAAAGACAGTTTATCATCATCAGTTTTAAAATAGTGCAATGCAGCAGATAATCATGTCATGTGTGTCAATTCTATTCTACTGATCAGAGAAATGCAGGAATACGTCTATTACCCACACAATATGCAAGACGCTACTTGCACCCACCCACGGACTCACCATCTTGTATGACGCCACATACTCAGGCTTACCGACTAAGTGGAAACAACACATACATATTATAAGCCATTGCATATACCAGCTGAAAAGCATTTCAAAATATCCAAAGCATGTAACACAGCATGCATGTAACCATACCCCCATGGGACATGGTGGAACCACAACATGGCTAAACCGAGGACACGAAAGCTTACCTTGCAAGCTAACACCCAAAACCAAGAGTCCACAGCTCAAAGTCCAAACACAACAGATTCACAATCTGTTATGGACCAACAATACATCAACAATCATACTCTACAAGTATACAACATAAAGACAACGCCTTTTCATTACGTTTTACGTCTTAAGGTTTTTCACCAAGCCATAAGCCCTTAATCACATGATTTTGACTTACATTAATTAATTACAGAAGTTCAACTTCCTCAAACTAGGGTCCACAAACCCATAGATCAGTTCTGGATGAACAGTACGCTACTGTCCCTCGCAAACCCAGAATATTCAGATGTCCCTCGGGGGCATATCCGGATATCAATATCTGGATATCCAGATCCCCATATCCGGATATCAATATCTGGATATTTATCGACCAAATATCCGGATATTTCGCGACAGAATGCAGTTTCTGCATTTCGCGAAGATATCCTTCCAAGGTTCCATTTTTAACATTTTAAAACGTCAAAGCATGCATCTTTAATCTGTTTTAGGTCCACAAACCAGTTGGTTACTTGTTTAACCCATTAACATGCCAAGACTTCATCTTTAAGCAACAAAACTCAAGACCAAGGTTGGTATAACTTACCAAAGCTTAAACTCAGCAAAATGGTGCTCTTGGAGCTCACACAACAGCTCCAAGGTACTGACTTCAATGGAGAGCGAAAATGATGATTAAAGGTTGGCCCTTTGCACCAAAGATGGCTCCTTGGAGCCACAACAACCAAGATACAAGCTCTCTCCTCACCAAAACCAGAATACAACACTCTCAACCTCACAAGGCAGCAACTACACTAAGAAAGAAGCCACTTTCCCACCCACAAGGATTGTTCCCACACACCCAAGGTGTTTAAATGCAAGGAAATGGAAGAAAGGTAGTTTCTTTGGTGAGTTCCCAAGCAAGGAAGAAGAAGGCAGCAAAGAGAGTTCAAACTCAGAAAATCCTATGAAGGAGGCACCCAAAATCAGACCTAGGATCATGTGCCAAGGCTATATATAGCCACTTAACATTTAAACACACAGTATTAACTTTAATTGCTACGCTTAACATTTTAATCACAAATTCAAGATTCTTAACCTACTCAATTTTATAAGAATTATCATATTTTTCTTATATTTTTCCGAGCACCTTTCCGGTACGCGCTTTTCATAGCCAGTACCAGTTTTTGGCACCAGTTCCTATTATTTTGACTTGAAACTCGTTTTACAAGTCCTACATATTATTCTAGTAATTATCATGCAGTTATTATAATTTTCCGGGATACTTTTTCGGTGCGCATTTATACTGACTAGCAGAACCGGTATCTGCACTTTTTTTTTTTTCCGAAAAGCGACTTTCAGCATTCTTAACCACTTACTATAATTATTAGAGTCTCATAATAATTATTAGGGTCAATTATAGAATTATTTCCTAATTTCACATAATAATTAATTAACTTCCTTAATTAACGGTGCGGGTTCTTACACTCTCGCTTACTGGAAGATTTACAAACAACTCTTTTCAAGATTATTTTGTTATAGTAATGGTGTTATATCCTTGTGACAAGAATTCTCTCTCTCCATTACATGATCACATCAGGCTGCACGGGATGGACCCCAAATAAGGCACTGATTCATGCAGCTGATTCAATCTTGGGGCCTTGGAAAACTATGGGAAATCCATGCATTGGAGGAAACAAAATGTTTAGACTTGCTACCTTCCTTGCTCAGAGAAATTTTGTGCTTCCCTTACCTAGGTTCCCAGGTTCATTCATTTTTATGGCAGATAGATGGAATCCAAGTAACCTGAGAGACTCAAGATATGTCTGGTTGCCTTTGATAGTGGCTGGACTTGCTGATAAAGCAATGGAGTACGATTTTGGATTCCAATTTTGGTCAAGAGTTTCTATCTATTGGCATAGGAAATTGAGACTGCCTCAGGGGTGGAGCACATTCACTTAATGTTGTTTCTCGTTGTACATTTGTGGTCATATATGAAGACTCACTATACATCTTACCAAGTTGCATGTCACGCACTTGATAGAAAGTTCACTCACTCTTTGAGGACTCAGACATAGAAATTTCAATCTCAAGAAGATGCTGTGCTTTTGACACCTTTCAATGATTCTCTCGGGTTATTATAAGTTGACTTTTTTTTATTTTTTGGCGTTACCAGTTATACAATGTTGACTTGCTTCACATGCAGTAGAGGTGTGTATAGTACGTTACCTATGAAATTCATAAGAATATGTAGTTGATTTGACCAAATCTTTGTTTCCTGTTGGTGAGATTCAAATTAATAGGGCCATTAGATTGCTGCAATGGTGGTTTGAAAGGTTTGTGGTTGGAGGTTTGCTGCAATATGTCTTGCAACTTCTGTGTTCATGTCCATTTTTTTAGTGTTAAGGACCAAATAGGGCCTCGATAAATTTGTCAGGGACCAAATATGGCCTTCGATGCTAGGGTCAGCTGTCCAAAACTCCAAGAAGACATAAGGCATGTTCAAAACGGCGTCGTATTACTTCCACGCTGGCATACTTAACGGTGACTCAGCAAACTAACGCTCCACGTGTGCTTCGTTAGTTGGGTCGTTGGATACCAACTAACGGAAGGACAAATGTGGCCCTATTTTTGTAAAATTAAGAACCAAAATGAGCCTTTTTTTATTGTTGGGGACCAAAAGGGGCTTCGTGAAAATTGTCAGGGACGAAAAATGGTATTTACTCATATTTTTATATACTATTATGTAAAAAAAAATCATGTATATAGGATTAATGACATATGTTAACTATTTATG